GTCTCTGGTGTCTTCCAAGTCGCTGTCCAAGGTGTTTGGCAGTCTTTAGAACGTGACTCCTGAAGGACGACCCCATGAAGGCGTACAACAGCGGGTTAATGCAGGCGTGGGTGAGAGCCAGGCTTTCTGTCACCTGCATAGCGTGATCCAAGCCCTTGCTGACATCACAGTCGGTCACGAGCATGTAAATGATGTCCATCGCTCGGCAAAGCTTGACTACCGTGTAGGGCAGCTGGGTGAGCAGGAATACGGCCACCACAGCCAGGAGGACCCGCAGGGCTCGCCACTTTTTCTCTCGTCGCACCGCGACGGCCTTACTCAGCGCCAGTCCCACTCGGCAGTAGCACACCACCATGACCAGGAAAGGTATCACAAATCTCAGGATCACCTCAAGCAGCTCCAGGGAAGCCTTTGCAGGTCGGGCCATGCTGTGCGGGTAGATGGCTGTGCAGCTGATCCTGTAATGGGTGTGCTTCACTGTGGAGAAGATAAGTTCAGGAAGGCCGAGAATGCTGGCTATAGTCCACAGCATGAGGCACACCAGGAACCACTGTCTCCTGACTTGGGATCTGGTGCCAGCTCTGTCCGTTGGATTTTTGGTTACAGCGCGGTAGCGATCCACACTGATGCACGTAAGCATCAGCATGCCGCAGCTGAAGTTGGTGCTGTAGAGGAAGGATGTGAGCTTGCAGGCTGCCGTACCCAGCATCCACCCGTGGACAGCATCGGCTGCCCAGAAAGGCAGGGTGAAGAGAAGCAGCAGGTCTGAAATGGCAAGGTTGAGGATGCACACATCCGTCAGGGTTCGCAGTTTCAGCCGTGACGTGTAAACCACCACTACCAAGGCGTTTCCCGCCAGGCCTACTATCAGAGCCAGGGCATAGATGACCGGAAGGAAGACGCCGGCAAAGGAACGCACTGTTTCCTTGTCACAGATGGTGTGTTCATAATTGTAGTCGTAAGTTTCATTTGAATCATCGTCGTGGTGATAGTCAAAGTCGGCCATACTTTTTCTGTGGGAAAAAAATACAAGAGAAAAAAGGAGAAACATTTCTTTAAAAGCTCCACCTTTTTAGTTGGTAATGCTGTGGTACAGTTTACTCTGAGTACCAACAATTGAGTTCTTGCCCATCATTAACATGTATGCATCATTTAACAGAACAAGAACGAACTGCCAGCCC